GGGGGCATGGGGGGGGGGGGGGGGGGGGCAGATTGAGGCCCCCACATTGAGGGAGGGAGTGGGACAGAGGCAGCACAGCCAGAGCAGAGCGCAGGACAGAGCTGCAAACTGCTCGTCCAGGGGGTGCAGCTCCCACTGAGGCATACACCCTGGAAGGGCATGGGGGAAGGGGGGTGCCCCCAGTTCTGCACACAGGGTGAAAGTGGGCTGCTGCAGTGGTGCCAGGCTCTTCCTAGAGGTGGGGTTGGGCCAGGGCCACAACTGTGGCAGGCGGCAGCAGCACTGGGAGGGAGGATACAGCTAATTTTGTGGTGGCTGCAGCCCTCCCCCCCCACAGCCCTTCTCTCAGCACCACCACCACCCACCCAGAGCACAGCCTAACCTGGAACCACCCCAGACCCAGCCCACAGCAGCAGTCTGCCTTTACCCACCCTGAGCACAGATCTGGGGGCACACGTCCCCCATGCCGTCCTGGGGTAAGTGCAGTGGCAGGAGCCACCCACCTCTCCCCGTGCTGCCCAGACGAGCTGCTCACAGCTCAGTCCTCCGTCCCACCCCGGCTGTGCAACACCTGCCTCTGCACTGCCCCAGCCCCACTTTCTCCCTCACCGTGGGGGGGGCCTCAATCTGCCCCCCACACACACACACACCCCTTTTCTCCCCCTGGCGCCTTCCCCCACAACAGACTTACCAGCCGGAGGCTGCTCTCTAAGCTGCCTGGCTGCATATCAGCAATCAAATGCGTACCAGTCAATACGGCTCATTAAAAACTGGCTGTTGGTATCGGCCCCAAAAAATCTCTATCAGTGCACCCCTAGTAGCCACAGTTCAACTCATGTTTAACAACTGGAACACAGATAAATTCCATTTAACAAATGTTATATTTTATCATGACAGAAAGTAGTTATGTATTTATTTAAGAAATGGCACTTTTACATTGATACAGCTACAACTCAGTGTAAAGTTTTCACTAGGATTTTACACCAGAGGTAGCTATCTTGCATAATTTTGTGGGTCTTTTACATCAGGTAAAGGCAAAGCTAGTTTCAAAGGAACTTGAATTTACATCACAGTCCTGTTTCAACATGAAAAGTCCACCAGTGCCTGAGGAGTCTAAAAAAATGCCATTTGCAATCTATTCAGGATATACTACATGTTTTTCCAGGGATTAGGAGAGATTTTACTTTCAAGTCCATGTATCTTTAACACTTCTACCTCTCCCTCTCATTGACAGCTGGTATCAACACCACCAAGGACAGTAGTTTTTAGTTTTGTTTTGTTTTTTTTCCAAGCAAAACACCCCGACACAAATGACAGTCACTTTTTTTTTTCCACTCTTCCATGCAGCCATAAACTCACATGGCTCAAGCACATGAAATAAAATAGCCCATCAATACTAAAACTGGTATTACATAAACAAATTACATGAGGTTGACTCATAATACCAGTTACTTCAAGCTGGTTATCGATAAGCTTTTATGCCTGACTGGTGGAAATAGCAGATGCACCAGCAGATCTATCTATTAGGTTTTATTTTTCTCCTTGGCAAGAACAATAACATTCTGTACTATAAAATGCCATGAAAAACCCAAACAAACAAGGAACTACTTGCACACTGGCTTCAATGAAGTCACAATAGGAAAAATGGGGAAAATAAGAAATAAAAACAAATGACTCATATGGATTTGTCTGGGTCACTCCTTTTTAAGCCATATTAAAAGAAACCATCACTAAAAGGTGGTATCAATTAAAATATGCCTAAGTTTGACTATATTACTATTTCCACTGGAGTTTCACAATTCTGCAGCCACAGAAGCTCTTTTTAAACAAATACGCACTTCTAGCCTGTATGCTTACAGGAAAAACTTCCCACCGTCTCATTTATATATCTATGTTTTACCATTTTATATCACCACTATATTAATATAGTTATACCAATAATATCCATTCCCTCCCTTCCTGTCCCACTCAGATCATTTGTATCAGCATAAAGCTAGGTCTATACTTAAAAAGCATTGCTGGCAGAACTATACCAGTGGAGGTATGATTTTTCCCTAGCAACCAAATGACAGGCATACCAGCAAATGTTTACTTTCTGTGCTGTTTTGTAGTTCTTTTGCCAGTATACCTTATTATATTCAGTTTACTTGTTTAAGCAAATACCAGCAAAAGAATGCTATTTTAAATATTAAAGGTATCTCCAGAATAAGGGTTTGAATCAGTAGTTTATTTCAATATGTGAAAAGAAATAAATCAGCACTAGTATAACTGCAACCACACTTCGTTGTGCCGGTGTAACCATGCTGATAAGAAGTCACACCCTCACTTGAAACAGATAAACCAGTACAAAAAAAAAATCTGTCTAGACCAAGCACAACTATGAAACAGTATAAACCAACTGAGTATTTGGATTCTTGCATCACATTTGTCATTGCATATAGTCTTCCCAAATCCACTCATCTCAACAGGCTATTAAAATGTGGGTTTTGGATGTAAGAACTAAGTATCAACACTGTTAAAAAATATGACCAGTGCAATAATTAACAAACAAAACATGTTAATAAATATAATCCCAAATTTACTCAGGTGTGAGAAGAGCTAAGTATTTCTCATCTAGCATCAAAAGCTTCATGCTTTTCCAGTGACAGGTTCCATAATGCAGAATCCCTTAATCTATACAATAACTTGTATATCTTAAAAATGGAAAATGTAAGGACAGAGTAAAATCAACTGATTTTTATATGAAAAAAAAATCAATACATAAGCTGCATTACTAAACATCTTTCAACATTAATCTCAAATTTTTTACCCAAATCTGCTACAGAATTTTCAGTTTGTAGAAACTAGGGTCCATTGCTGCAGAATTTAGGTCAGCTTGTCTGTTGAGTACATAAGGCCTTAACTATAGACATACATTTTCTAGTAATCCTTCAGTAATCCCCTTCATCCTACTATGCACCTATTTTACAAAGAGCTACTAGCTTCCTTCAGATTCCATAACAAAGGCCCTCCACAGGAGAAACCTTTCTAAGAGAATTAGCAATTATTTCTTCCCTTTAAAGGCAGGAAACTAGTCATTGAATCAAACGAATGCTGGATCATAATTCACCAATTAAATTAATCAAGCTTTCTCCATTTCTTTCCAGTAAGTCTCCTCAATGCAGACTAGAAAGAAGTTTGCCTTTCTGTCCCTATACACACGAGTATAATAATCATATTTAAGAGTAAATTAAACTGAAAACATAAGGGTTAGTCTTTGACAGATAGAACATAGATACTCACAACAAACAAATCAATCAATAAATGAAAAAATAGACACCAAAGTGTTTAAAACACACTCAGAAAACCACAGAAAAAGTACACAAGACAAAAAAATATTACTAGGTATGGGACCCCTTCTAAAAAAACATATATCTATATATACAGATATCGATAGATTCACACACATGCACAGAGAGCAAATACCGTTTTTACACAAATCCACAGATGATCCTCCCCCACCCCAATTATTAGGTTCTACATATGGAAAAAAGTATACATTTGTTATAACTTGCCACATATAGGGTGCATCCAAACAAATGTGCACGCGTGTTTTGTGGCACCTCAAAAGCTTTTGGCCACTCATGCCCACCCCGAGGAACTGGAGGCACCAGTCGCCCATGCTCTTACCCAAGCTCAGGGCTGAAGCTGAAGCGTAGCAGCTGCCTGCCCCCATCTCCCCCTTGCACTTGAATACAAGGGGTTTTTTTTCCCCACCATATGGAATGGGGGGAAAAAAAACCTCATTGTGGATTTAATAAGATACTTCTTCAAAAACTAGAGATCTACACACCAGAATACTTCAGAGCTTTATATTTAAGTATATGGACAGCAACAATTCCGTAGAAAAAATTATATGCATAGAAGTGGTTGCAGGATTCAGACAGGCACTGAAGGTTTTCAGCATCTGAAAACCAGACAATTTTTTTTTCCCCAAGGCACTCTGTACCTGATCAGGCTGTACACTTTCTTCCTCTGGCTTCAGTTGGACCTGGCGTGGGCTTCAGCAGGCTTTGGGAGCAGGGAGATGCAAATCCAACTGCTGAGAATCAGTCTCTCATGTTGGCCAGCCTTGCAGAGAACTGGGCTCTTCCTGTGTGAAAGTAAAGAAAATAAACTTCTGAAAACCTGGGTGTCAACACATCACAGCTGTCTGGAAAGCTAGTCTGCAGCAAATTAAACACGCTGTCAACACCCTGCACATCCTCTTCTGCTGCTATCTCCTACTTACTATATTTTCTTGTGTATAATATGCCCCCAAATAATTTTGGGAGGCCCCAAGAAGTGGAGAAACAAAAAAATCTTACCCTGCAGTTGGTAAGTACCAGAGGTCTGGGATCTCTGGGGCTGGGTCCTAACGCAGCACACTGTGGCAGGGCCCCAATTTGGCACACCAGTGCTGGGCTATACTGCCTGGTGGGGCCTGATCCAGTATGCAGGCTCCAGATCTGTGTACCTGGTTCAGCTCTGCACACTGCCTCCAGGGCTACTCATGGTCCCAGACTTGGACTGTTCACTGGCTCTGGAACCAACCCATGCCACATGCTGGGTCAGATGCAGAGTCCAGCTATAGATCAACCCTGCGCACAGTCCCAATCCAGTAAGTGACTGGGAGGGGGACTCCTTGTGGGTCCAGAAATTTGGTGAGGGGGCACAAGCAGGGAGTGGTGGCAACATTAACTGCCTTGGTTCCTAGAGCCATGGCAATTAACATTACTGCTACTCCACCCCTCCCTCCCAAACTTCCAGAGCAGTGAGAAGTCTTTTTCTTCAACCCATAACATGCATACCAATTTTCCCCACCTGGTTTCAGGGGAAAGGTACAGATATATGCAAGAAAATATGGCATTTTAAGGATTCCAATAATCTAGGCTCTACCCTTATTTAAATAGGCGAGACTGGACAATAATTACGATAACCCTGGTACATAATCCATAATGCATACCACCTAGCTCCTTACAAATCCATGCTCAATACTCATTTCTAGTGTACCTCCTCTCATGCACTCCATCTTTCTGCTTTAACCACAACTGATGGACTGCAGGTGAATTATACTAACAACAAAACAACAAACCACACCTTCATGCAAGTTCCAGCATCTCAAGTGTCCTGCACAACTGTCTTGATTGCGTCTATATAGCATTGCACAACCCAACCTTTTAAACAGCTGATAAGTTAATCCTGTTAAACCTCATAAAATGCCCTGGAGAAACAACCTAATCAAAGGCAATGCATGACCTAGCGATGTGACTACTATGCTATGAGAGGCATCATCTTTATCACTTGCTTCTTCCCAGCGTTTCCACAAATGAAGACTGTAGGCTGGTAGTTTACTCCAGTGTCATTTAGGAAAGGCAGGCAGTCTACAAAGTGATGAGTCAGCTCTAGGAGGAGAACACCCAGAGCCCCTTCTCCACACCCCAACACATGTAACAGCAACAAACATGCATTACAGTCATGGCCTCCAATACACAAAGCACATGGACGGAGAGATGCCACATACAATTCCACTATCATACAGCAACCAGGCTAGCAACAGACGCACTTTCCGTCCAGAAAAGCAAGTCACCCCCCGCATTTCATGTGCCCCTCGACTGGCTCTTCTGGTGCTGCCGGCTTGTTTGCTAGGACAGGAGGGAACCGCACTCTGCTCCTTCCCGGCAGCCAAACGCCGGGCTGTGCCACCCCTGGGCTCCCCAAGCGCCGCAGAAACCCCGCGCGGGGACACGCCGGTTCCTCGGCCGGGCGGGCAGCGGAACGACCCCTGGCCGCCCAGCTCCGCGGCACCACCCGCCCGCGGCAGGGCAGGGCAGGGCAGGGCAGGGCCGGGCCGGGCCG